TGGAGTGGCTTATGCTGCCTTTCCAGGGAGGAAGAGATGGAAAAATACTGGAATCTAGTATTTTTGCCTTCATCAGAGTCCTAGATCTTCTCTCTGAATCATGTTGAGAAAACATTTTTTAAGCATTCATCTGTGGTTACTAAATATTATAGCTGCTTGCAGTATTAGTTCATCAAATATGTATTTATGAGATACCTACTATGTGGCCAGCACTGGGATGGACTCCGGGGAGAGAAAGGGGACGCGAACAGGAGTGTAAATGTGGGCAGATGACAAGTTGAGGGTCAGGGAACTGAGCACAGTCCTGGCTCCTCTGCTTAATCGCTGTGCTCATTTAACGAGCGCTCACTGAATGCTGGCTGTGTTCTAGGCATGGTTTCTGCCTCTGGATTGAAGATAATCTAGACAAGTAAGATTTCCATTTTCTAGAATTTATAGTCTAGGGAAGGGAGAGTTTAGAAACAAGTAAAGATAAACCCATAGAATTGTATACTAACAGTGGGTGAATTTCATGATATGTAAGTCATACCTCAATAAAGGTACTAAAAAAAATTTTTGGCCCTCAAGGAGCTGACATTCAGGTTTGCCCCAATCCTTATTCTTCACACATTTTATGTCTGCCAGTGCTCCTGCTCACTACAGTTTAATTGTAAGCCCCAAATTAATCACCTGGGCAGTTTTCTGGTCTTTTGTGGACATGCACAGAGCAGTGGGAAATTTGAGTCACCCCATGAGCACGTTCCCAGCTAAAATCAAACCAGACAACACTCCACCTTCTTGGTTCAGCTCTTGTACTATAAGCAGGTGTCCTGTTAATGGTCTGTTTAGTGCCATGTTTTTCTGCATGTTTGTGCTTTTTGTTGGTGATTGATTCGCTGTCTCGAAAACATGGCCATCATGCAGGGGGCCGCAGTGTTCCTAATGGCAAGAAGGCTGCGATGTGTGTACAGAGAACATGCATGTGTTAGATAAGCTTCCTTCAGGCATGGATTACAATGCTGTTGGCCGTGCGGTCGGTGTTCATGCTCCAACAGTACATATTAAACACAGCATCTTTAAATAAAAACACACAGAAATAAGGTTATATATTGATCAGTTGATGGAGATGTTGTGACCAAAGACTTGTGGGAACCCAACTCTGTATTTCCCTTAGGAGCAATGGGTCAGTATTAGCTAATTCATTGTTTGCAGTGACTTCATAGAACAGAAGTACTGTGAATAAGGAGAGCTGACTGTGTGTGCGGGCCTAGGGCAAGAATGTATGTATAGCCCAGGTACAGGGTGTCTGGTCTTCCTTTAAAAAAATAGTGGGATTGTTCTTTCAGTAGTTAGGGTAGAGGCTCAATATGTTTATACATGCTCTCACAAAGAGCACGTTTTATTTAGCTGAGGTTTCAGTGTTAAACATTAGGGGTTTCCCTGTAGGAAATATTAATGGAAAGCCCTAGTATGAATAAGGAAGCTTTTATTATATAACCACTTATTTATATGTTGGCATTAGTAAACAAAAGGCTGACCTACATATTTTATATGAATTATACTTAATACTTTCATGTACCTTGAATAGATTTGTACCTTGTCTGTATATATATATATAGAGAGAGAGAGTCCAATAGCCATTTGACTCACTAAGCTAAAAAACTGATTTAAATGTTATTAAATGTTATTCAGTAAGTTGTAGCTCTTTTTAAATTTTTTTACTCCTTAGTCCCATGTGTCAAGTTGTTTAAACACAGTCCAGTTTTATAACATCAAAATAACAGGAAACAAATCCCAAATAGATAAAAGCATAGGGAAATCTCCTGGAGAATTGGCATTCAACATGTGGAGGGAGACATGAATTCAAGCTGGGAAAGGGAGGGAGTCAAAGAGCACAGAGTGAATATTAGGTTTCTACTTAATTTCTCAGGTTTTAACGTATGTGTATTTCTTTTAAAGTAAAAATAAAATTTACCTAAAACAGAAACTAATCAAATTAAGTAAACTCTACGAAGGACATAGAAGAGGTTCTGAGACAGACTGGCCGGAGGCCTGCTTTGAGAGGACAGTAAGGGACAGTCCCTGTGCCAGCGGCTCTCGGGCCCGGCTGCAGATAGAGTGCTGGTGCCCCAAAGGGTCAGGTCTGATGGGCTGGGGGCAGCCCAGGCTAGAGAAGTTCCCCCAGGGATTTGAATGTGCAGCCAGGGTTGAACAGCACTCTACATATGAAATGACAGTACATCTTAGAAATGGACTCAGGCCAACTTAAGGGGGCGCTCTAGGGCCTCACACAGTTGATGGGGTCTGGGGTGCTCCAGGCGCAGGGCTGTGGGAGCCACAGCAGTAGAATCTGGGTGGGCTTGTGGCACTGACGAGCACTCTTTCTGTTCCCATCCAAGACTCAGAGGATCTGACCACCTAGGGCGTGGTGTCCAGTTGGCCGCTCTTCTGTCCTGGGGTGAGGGTCCAGCTCCTTCATCCTTCCAGGAGGAAGGTGGTCACCAGAATGAGCCCTCAACAGATAGCTGGGGAGGGGGGGTTTTCTCAGGAAACCCTGGGGCCAAGAGAAGAAATGGTACTGGTCAGCCCGAACCCCAGGGAGGTCCACTGCACTCTGTGATGAGGCAGAATGAAGACTGGCGCCTAGAGCGGGGCCCGGGGCTCCGTCAGTATTTCCTTCTTGCCTGTCCGCCTGCCTTTCTCCCTCTCCTTTGTTTCTTGCATTCCCTCCAGCTTCCTCTCATCCGTCCTTGCCAGGATTCAGCCTGAGGAGACAAGGTTTATCCTCAAAGGAGTCTGGCAGACAATATAGGAAGTTAGGTGGTTGGGTCAGATGACCAGAGCAGGCAGAGCTCTGGCAAGGGAGGTGGTGGTGGTGGGTGGTTTTGTGACAGAGAGGGGCTCAGGTGGGTTAGCAGCTGGACAGATCTCAAGAAGACTGGGTGACAGAGAGGGTGACATCTCACACTAAGGAGGGGCACCAATACAGTAGTGTGGAGTAGGCCAGCACAGACTCAGCTGTTGCTTTCTTGAGTCCAGTGAGTGGTTACTGAGCACTTATTGTGTGCATCTGGGTTAGTTTCTTGAAAGGTGTAAGGATAAATCATACAGCAGCACCCCTGCCTGCAAGGGTGATACCTGAGGAGAACTCCCCAGGAGAGGCTGGCAGGGGTGAGGCGGCAGGGGAGGTACAGAGCACGCTGGCAGGAGGAGACATCATAGCCTGTGTGCGGTTCCAGACAGCTTCATGCGGGGTGCCTGCTGAGCTGGGCTGTGACGGATGAGTGCGATTCTGATTCATAGATGCTTTTTGTGGGGCAGGGAATGTAGGATACAAAATGAGATGGGCTAAAGCTCCCAGAGGGAAATAGTGAGAAAGCACATTATAACTAAAACAGAGTACATCTGTTCTAAAGAACTACAGGCAACTGGACTGGGAGGGAGGTGGGGAGCCCCCTGGGAGAGGCCTTGGGGACCACAGTAATGAAATAAGGTTTTGGGTTGCAGTTCAGGAAGGCCGGCACGCTTGGATAGGGCTCTGTGACTGCCAGAGTGCTCTCAGACCTAGTCTCACTTGACTTTTTCCCTGTGAGCATGACAGAACATGTCCAAGACAACAGCAGAAACACATGAGAAGGCCCGTGCATTGGTGCATGCAAAGAGCAGGTGACACCCCACTGCAGAGAAACAGGTCTTGTTCATGGGGAGAGTTTTGCTCTTTAATGGGTACAGTAGGCCGAGGACAGTAACGCCCCTCTGGGCACGTCGGGAATCTGCCTGGGGAATGGCTGTAATGCAGAATTAATTTGTTTCCATGCCACACTCAGTGTGTTTCCCCCACACCCATGGTGTGTCCTTCAAAGCCTTTTGTTTGGAGGAGAACTAGTAGCTCTTTATTGATGGGGTTTCTCCAGAGGCTTCCTGGAAAAGGCCTGGGTCTGGGCCTCCTTTTTACCTGGCCTCCTCGTATGCTCCAGAACAGTGTGGATGGTGTCTCTCTGCCCCCTGTGCACATCAGAAACATCTGGGGAGCTTTAAACAGAGCCATCAGCTGGTGCGGTGCCACCCAGACCAGCTGGGGTACTACAGAGATCCCTGAGTTTATGGACAGGGAAACTGAGGCTCAAGGTGTAAGACTACTTGCTTATGACTATACAGGTAGCAAACAGCCAAGGTGGCATTTGAACGGAGGCAGTCGATTCTTGAGTCTAAGCTTTGAATCCCCATGCTTTGTAATCTCTCCCCCGCAGGCCAAGTTGCTAGGGTTCTGATTTGGTCATTAATAACCAGGTGACAACCATGGATTTCAAAGCACAACCAAGATTTTAAAGGCAGCTTTTGAAATAAACAAACCAGCAGTGTGAAATGCTGCGTCCTTCCCCACACCTCACAGAAGGGTCGATGTGAAATTAGCAGCTGCAATTCTCTGTTTCTGATGCTCAGATAAGACTTTGGGGCTGCTTTCCAAAGTGCAGTTCACCGGTGTGCTGGGAAAACCTCTGCTACCTCAGCTTTTGAAGCCTGTGTCCTCATCTTCTATTAGTTTCCGTCTCCCACAATGCTGGGTACCTATAACTAACTTAATGGAACTTGACTGTAAAACTAACTTAACAAATACTTGGATGGCTGGCTGGCTGGCTGGCTGGCTGGCTGGATGGCTGGCTGGCTGGATGAATGAATGAATGAATGAGTGAATGAATGGCAGACAGATCTGGACCCTTAGCTTGCGAGTTCTCAGTGGCCAAGCTTGTTTCATTACATCTGCAGTGAGTACAAGTCTAGATACCATCCTCGGCCCAGGATTGTTCTGTTTGTTTTTAGTGCCGGTATTTGGAGGGATGTCATTAAGGAAAAGTGGAAAGAAAAGGAAGGTGCTTATGCTGCATTAGACCTCTTCATTGGAGAGGTCTGTGGGTCTGAAGTGTGAAAGGGGTGGGCCCTGGGGGCTGGCAGCAGGCTCCCCTTGTTTCTTTTGATGTGACCAAAAAGCTAACTTGGAACTCATTTCCTTTATTTTACAGGTCACCGCCAAGACTGCCTTCCTATTTATTTTACCTCAATATAATGTTAGTGTGCCTACAGCAGGTAAGAAAAGCCCTAGTCTCTGTCTTTCCCTGTCCTTATTAATTCTGAAGGACTTGGGAAACTTCCTTTTCCTTGTACGTGAATGATCTTTTTAGATATTTAAACTCAGTGTCCAACATCCTGGCACTGTTAAGGTAAAGCTGCAGGCCAGGTGCAGCACTGGGCCCTCATGCAGCTCTGGGTCCACGAGCAGCCCTGGGCCCAGGGCTCTGCAGGCTTGGGGTTCTCAGGTCCCACCATCAGGAACCAGGCATCTTTCTCAGTTGCAAAGTACTGGGTACCCTCTTGATGAGTAAAGGAAGAATTTTTGTTTGACAGTCTAGTTCTTTATTCTGTCGTAGGGAGGTGAATTGTCTTGACTTTAAGGTGAGATTCTTTTCTTTGCCTGGCTCCAAAACAAGCCAGAGGACTTTGGGGGCAAACCTCTTAACCCATGGCCTGTGGAGGATGCAGCCTCAAACCTCCTCTGAGCTCGCCTGCCCCCTGCAGTCCCTGTAGCCAAACTCTAGGAAGCCATGCTTCTGGGGCAGCCAAGTCACTTCCTTCATCTGAGAATTAAACTGAGGGACGCTGGCAAGAGAGGAAAAAACCTCCATGCTCATGAAAGAAAGGACTGGAAAGGCCATGCCAGCACCGTGGTCAGGAAACCAGATGGGTGCCTCCTCCCTCCGCGGCACACTCCAGCCCAGGTGGGCACAGTGGATTTTCTTGCTCAGTGCCATGTAGCCCCAGGTCAAATTCAGCCCTCCCTCCTGTCGCTTCAAAACCCTAGTAACTAAGACGCCTTTAAACCCAGCTGTACATATGATTTACTGACTTAAATTTTTTTGTTGTATTTTTAAAAATTGTGGTAGAATACACTTAACATGAAATGTACCATCGTAACCATTTTTAAGCATCCAGTGTAGAGACATTAAGTGCATTCACGTGGCTCTACTGCATAATTGCCATCCATCTCTAAAACTCTTTTCATCTTGCAGAACTGAAACCCCATACCTGCTAAACAGTAACTCCCCATCCTACCCGCTCCCCCAGCCCCGGGCAACCACCCTTCGAGTCTCTATGAATTTGACTGTTCTAGGGACCAGACGAATATGGAGTCATGTAGTATTTATCCTTTATTGACTGGCTAAAATTTATTTTTAAATAAGCATTTTTCAAAAATATGTTAACTTCAGTGATGCATGCCTCTCAGAGGAAATTTATAAAACACAGATAAACACAGGAAGATAAAAAGCCCACGATCCTACCACCCAGCCAAAATGACAGTTACCATTTTTGGGTATTGAGTCATAACCTGTTTTTTTTGCCGTTAGCATGTGATGAACCTTTTTTCCATGTCATTAATTATTATTGCAGTCAACAAGATATTTTGAAGCTGCAGAGTATTTCTTACTTGGGATGCCACAACGTATCTGTTCAATCCCATATTATTGGGTATTGGCATTTCCAGTTTTTATTGTACACAGAGCTTCAGTAAACATTCTTGTGACTGAATTTTTACATTCATTCATGATTATTTTCTTAGCATAAATTTCTGTTGCTGGAATTGCTGAGTCAAGTCAGTATTGACATTTTAAAGTTGTATATATGTGTTGCCAAAATACCCTCTGTCATCTAATTCTTATGACCCATAACATTTTAAAATAGCTTTGTAAATATAAAATGCATAGACTTCTTTCTTTTTTTTTTTTTGGTTTAATGTCAACTTAATTTATAAAGAGATATCCAGCTATCAAATGCTGTACAGTATTTTCATTACATTTCTCTCTGAAGTCAATTTTCATGGGACATCAGGACATAACCCAACACTGCTTTATTAATTTGCCATGAGAAAGTATTGTCCTGGGCACCACATGCTGATGTGCACGTGACCAGGGCATGCCTTTATTATAGGAGGGGCCTATTTGTAAAGGCAGATCATGATCGAAGGGTTGATTTTTGAGTTTGGAACTTTCCTAGAGAAATTAGCAGGCAAGTGATATCCTAAAGGAATCCACCTCCACCCAGGATGAGAAGCATAGTCTGGAAGCTCCAGGCCTGAACCCACAGCCTCTCAGCACTAAGTGCTCTCCGCTGTGATTTGGAGGTGTGCCGCTATTGATCATATCATGCCTTTATTGTTTTAACAAACTCATTAATTGAGCAATGGGACAACTATCTGTGTACTTACTGTGTGCCGGGCCCTGGGTGTAAAGTAGTCTATAAACACGTCTGATCTCTGACTTGTGGAGCTTACCATTTCTTAGGTAAGACAGAGATAACGAACAAGTAAACAGTAACTGTGGTTGTGATAAAGGTGCTGCAGGATAAAAACATGGCGATCTATAAGGAAAAGTAAAAAAGTGTGACAAGATGTTTGTGAGAAGCTAACTCTTGAGCTAACTGTGTTGGGAGTATAGGGAGGGGATCTGGGCAGAAGAAAGAACATCCCAGGCCTAGGAATCAGCATGTGCACAGGCCTCAAGTGAGAAATAAACACCTTGGCTCATTCTAGTAACGGAACGAAGACCAGTGGGACTGGCATTTTCCTAGGGTGGAGTGATTGAATTCTGCTCCTGGACTCCTCATCCAGGCCCAAAGGCCTGGAGAAAAGTGAAGGTACATTAGAATGCATATGGAGTGGAGGTTTCAGTTACTTTGGAAAAAGAGGAGGAGGTATTGTTAAATAGCCTATCTTTTGTTTAAATATTGCCATTTGGGGGCAATTTGCAATATAACAACGAAATAATCAAGAGAGACAATGAAGTCAGCATAGCCTGCTTGGTTTTGTTTTGAGCTCCTTAATCACCAACCCAGTACAGTAGTGTTTGCTTTGTGAGTACTGGGAGCAAACTTCTCATGGGAAAAAAACAGTTCACAATAAGGGGTCTGTTGAGATTGCTTTTTTTAAAGCCCTCCCCCAGAATCTCTTTTAAGGCTGGAGGTGCTAGGGAATGTATCCTTTTTGTATAACCTAAGTAAATTCTGATTTCTAAGGCTTCGCTTCTTAGTGCGTAACTTGCTCAATTCAGTTATTTAAAATTTGAATTTTAGAGCAGTGACTGTTTATAAACTGTAGTTCCATCTCTCAAGTACTGTGTTTCCTCGGCTGACGCTTTCAACTCCTGTGGAAAACAGCTAATGGGAATGTTGATGAGTTTTCTGGCCTGCTTTGTTTTGGTACCTCTCCCCCCTTTTTTCCAGCTCCCACCATTTGTTTATTGCTCTGTGATAACACAAGTGCCACAAACTGAGGGGCTTAAACAACAGAAACTTACTGTCTCACAGTTCCGGAGGCAAGAAGTCCAAGATCAAGGTGCCATCAGGGCCATCCAGCCTCCGAAGGCCCTGGGGAAAGGTCTGTCCCAGGCCTCGGTCCTGCTTCTGGCTCCCTGCTTGTGGGAGCATAAGGCCAGTCTTTGCACGGCATTCAGTCTGTGTGCCTGTCAGTCTCTGTGTGCAAATTTCCCCTTTATGTAAGGACCTTAGTCTGTTAGATCGGCTGCCCATTCTACTCCATTATGACCTCCTCTTTAACTAACTGCGCCTGCATCAACTCTCTCTCCAAAGCAGGTCACGGTCTGAGGTCTGGGGCCTTAGGACTTCAGCATACGGATTTTGCCATGTGAATTTTGTAGGGACACAGTTCAGCTCATAACACCAGCTGTAAATGTATGCTCTAGTCACATTCTGTCGAGCTAATTACAACAGTCCAGCTCCAACCAAAGGCATGAACTAAAAGGAGAAGTGCCGGTGGTTGGTTGTAGGAGTAAGTGCCTCCTGGTGGAAACCCCGCCACACGGGCATCCCTGTGGTTTTCCTGAAGGTCAACAGCAATGAAGCAGAAAACATTCCTTCTTCCCACATGTCACCCTGTTAGGGCTGCAAGACTTGGGAAATAAAAATCCAGGTATACTATGTAAATTTGAATTTCAGATAAACATTGAGTATTTTTTATTTATTTTATTTTTAGTGTAAGCACATCCCAGATTATGAATGGGACACAATTATATTAGAAAATTATCCCTTATTTATCTGAAATTCAAGTTTAACTGGCCATCCTGTATTTTATCTGGCAACCATACCCTTTGCCCAGTTCTAGTAAGGAACAAAATGTCAGGTGCCTGGTCTTAGCATTGGACACTTTGAGTCTTCTTTCTGATTAAAATCCCATGAAGTATCCAGTATTATGGTCAGAAATATATAGAATGTAAAAGATCAGAAAAGAATTGAGGTTTGATTCTTTCCACAGACAGACTGAAAGGCCTGCCGACTTCCCCCCTCACCTAGAACAGGTGACCCCAGACAGACTGAGCATTTGCCAGGTTGTTTTGGGCTGTGCCTGTTGCAGACCGAGAGCCCAGCTCTTTGCAGAGTATTTCTTACTTGGGATGCCACAACGTATCTGTTCAATCCCATATTATTGGGTATTGGCATTTCCAGTTTTTATTGTACACAGAGCTTCAGTAAACATTCTTGTGACTGAATTTTTACATTCATTCATGATTATTTTCTTAGCATAAATTTCTGTTGCTGGAATTGCTGAGTCAAGTCAGTATTGACATTTTAAAGTTGTATATATGTGTTGCCAAAATACCCTCTGTCATCTAATTCTTATGACCCATAACATTTTTAAATAGCTTTGTAAATATAAAATGCATAGACTTCTTTCTTTTTTTTTTTTTGGTTTAATGTCAACTTAATTTATAAAGAGATATCCAGCTATCAAATGCTGTACAGTATTTTCATTACATTTCTCTCTGAAGTCAATTTTCATGGGACATCAGGACATAACCCAACACTGCTTTATTAATTTGCCATGAGAAAGTATTGTCCTGGGCACCACATGCTGATGTGCACGTGACCAGGGCATGCCTTTATTATAGGAGGGGCCTATTTGTAAAGGCAGATCATGATCGAAGGGTTGATTTTTGAGTTTGGAACTTTCCTAGAGAAATTAGCAGGCAAGTGATATCCTAAAGGAATCCACCTCCAGCCAGGATGAGAAGCATAGTCTG